ACTGATCGCGTAGGTGGTTAAGGAAGTGGTAATAATAGTACTGGCAACTACGCGAAAAATGTTGACTGGCACGCCGGCGCAAAGTGCTGAACTATCATGACGACCGTTGTTTTGTTTTGGAAATTGGTGAATTTCAGAAGGCGAAAAGTAGTGGAAAACGGCATTTAATCGAAAAATTTATACGAAAAATATTGCTTGTTATGAGATTTTCTATAAGGTGAGCATAGTCTTAATCGGCAAAGCGGCAATCCTAGTACCAGATCACATCGTAAAGCATTACCAAAAACATCATTGGTCGCAATCAGCAGACGACATCGTTTATGAATCGCTGACCAATTTTCTACTGAATGTTCCCAGAATCTTCGATGGCTCATCGGAAACTACTACAGCAGAATTCAGCAAAACTGCCCATCATCACGCGACCGATGACTTATCGCTAACTCATCGATTTTGTCTGCTAAATGCGACCAATGCTTCTTTGACTATTCATCAGAAAATTGTAGAAGATAACTTTTAATATAAAAAATGTTCGTATTTTGAAGTAAAGATGGTATTTTTTCTTTTCGAATGCTTAAGTATTCCAATAGGCTACCAATTGAACATGGGACAACTTCAAAATAATGCTTAAAAACAAAGTTGAAATTCTATTTTCAACTGTTAATATCTCACAGCCAGGCCTTCTCTTCTGATTTAAACTTTAAAAATGTCTCTTTACTCTGACGCTTTGTCAATTTGATTGTTTTTTTTCTTAGTGCTTCTTCAGTCGCTTAACTTATGTTCTCAGTATAATTGTTTCTGTAGGGATAATAGAGACCGGTTCTATCGAAAACACCAATCTAGCTCAGTATGACAGACTCATGAACACTAATGTCAGATCCGTTTATCAATTAACAAATTTAGCTGTTCCTCACCTCATCGCAACGAAAGGAAATGTTGTCAACGTGAGCAGCGTAAATGGAATACGAGCATTTTCTGGCGTTTTGGCCTATTGTATGTCAAAAGCAGCTGTTGATCAATTTACCAGGTATGTCGAAAATTTGATCTAATTATGCATGAATTATTGATAAACTATTTTATACAAATTATTCTTTAAAATATTAAATTTGTTATGTTAATCCTTTGCGGCCCGACTTTTTTATTTAACAAACATAATTTTCGTACATTTTATTGAAGTAAAATAACCTACTTTATCAAAACTTTTATTAGTTTTTACAAAAACAGGTGGCTCCACAGTATCGCCACTAGGCCCTACCGAACAAAAAATTTCGGCTGAAAAATTATTAAGGGCCGGTTGCACAATCCAAGTTCACAGTTCAAGCCGACAGTTCAGCGGTGAACGTGGTTCAACGAAAATTTTCGGTTGTCCCAGTCACGTTCAAGCCTGAACTAAAGGCCTGGGTTTGCTTGTGCGATTGACACACGCAGTGGCTGCAGCGTTCCCCGCAGAGACTGATCATATGGCATAATAAGTTTATGGATTGACTAGCGCGTCGACGTCTAGCGTCTGAAATTTGACGCAACGTCGGAACGCAGGCACTGCTATCGAGACACAAGCGATTTCACTGCAATACTTCTATTTTTTTGCCGTCGACATGAATCAAATTGATTTCACTTAAGCGAAAATAAGCGTGGAATTTAGTGTCATTTATATATCGATGTTTGTACATAGAATGATGAGGTTTGTTCAGTTCGTAATTAATAACGGAATCATGGTATTATTATCTTCTTCTAATAAAAGAGCCAATGCAAGCTCCACGATGCTAATTAGTCAGCTACTCAAGTTTTCCAAAGTGCTCGGGCTGCAGACTTTTAGACGCACCAGCGAATCCACCTACGACGCATGCGATAGACACTGCAACCGCTGCTTGCGTCAGACGCATGCATCAATCGAACAAGCGAACCCAGACCTTAAGGCAGCGGTTCCACAGCAACCACTGTCATCAACTATCACCATCTATTAGCTGCTTCCGACTCTCTAACGTCATTGCCCTAAAATACCCCCCCCCNCCATCATGCCCAGGGTCCTTTTTTCTCTTTGCTCTTTTGACGATGTCCTGGATGACTCGATCTCTTTGGTGACTCTTCTGGCGCTGCCAGTTTTGGAGGTGAGCGGCTACAGCTCATTGACTGTCCTCTCTTGTTCTGGGTGATCAACCAGGTTTTCCCGGAACTGGAGCTCTAGGTGGGCGGCAAAGAGCTTAGCTTTTTCCTTGATATCCACAGTGGTGATGTCGTTTTCTTCGGTTGGTGGTATTGGCTTCCTTGGTCCTGCTGTGAGGCACCTGGCCAGCTTCCAAAGTTCGCTTCTTGACTCATCAGCCTCTATTTCGTCCATGCGATCGAAGGATTTTCATGTCTTCCTTGATTGCATTCTGGAGGCGGTTGGCTTGTCTCTTTAGGAGTGGGTCTTGCGTTCGCATGGCTCTGTGTCTTATCCGGTTTTTCTCCCTAATTTTGGCTTTTAACCAGGGAGGAATTCTGTCCATTTGGGCTATCGGAACTACGGATAGACATGTTGACATTGCCAGGGCGTTTTTAATATCCCTGCTGAGTCTTTCGGCTGCCCGGTCCAGGTGTTCCTTTGCTGTGGGCTGATGGATCCTGCTGGTGCTTTCCACACTTTCCTTCTCTGGAAAGCCTGCCAGTTGGTGATCCTTCTAGTCGCAGTGGAGCTGTTGACGTCATTTGGTCCAATTTGCATGAGAATCGGCAAATGGTCCGAAGAGAGTTCCTGGAGTACTTAGGGGCTGGACAGTCTTCCTGCGTTCTTGTACAGGAATATGTCCAGGATGTCATCTCTGCCATTACGGGCGACGTGGGTTGGCTCTAGAGGTGCGGCTATCTCAAACATTGAATTTCTGGCTTCGTTCGATAGCATGATGCCTATAGGAGTGTTGTGGTTGCATCCCCAATTGGTGTTTTTGGCATTGAAGACCCTGCCATGCATCGTTGGCCTGTCATCTGTGAAAAGTTTTATCGAATCGCAAATGTTGGAAATCTGCTTGATGGCCACCGGTGATCACCAAAAGAAAATGCACAACTCTCCCGCCCTCTACGAGCGGCTTTGCAACTAACAACGCAGGCTATCCACAGCTTAAATATCATGATATATAAGCTGTACGCTAACCACGGAAAGCGTATCCACCGGTCAGCAGATATTTTTTTCTTAACCGTCTTGCGCGTCTCACTGCCATGTTGCCGCTATGCACATACTTGGTTTTTAACCGCCAGCCCTTGCTCGAATAGCGACGCCTAATCTCAGAGAAAGTCGTGTGGCGAACTCTAACGAAGCGAACTTCTAATACTCTATCGGACGTCTAAGCTAGGGCCTACCATGGGCCTACCTAAGCCTTACTGACGAGTCTAATGGGTATGCCCGGGACGAAACGCATGGTACTTCAACGCACGCCATAGTTGTTTACTTTTTTTAATTAATTGTTTCTGGTTAATGCTTGTTTGTGTTTAAGATGCAGTCTTATAGGAGAAAAAATGTTATGCTGCATATTTTTCTGATTTTTCACAGGCATATAATTGTATATAATTAAAGTGAAGGTCATAGACAACATTTAAATATATCTGTGACTATTAAAACTCCAAGAATCTAAATCTTTACTGCGGGAACTAATTGTATAATCACTAACGATGGAATTAGCATGATATTCAGCAACAGCCACTGAACTTAAAAGGTGCTAAATTCCACAACAAACCGTGTTTTTCTGTGGTTATAACTTCGTTCGCAATGGAAGTATTAAACCGGCAACGCGGCAGTGATACGCACAAGCGCAATCAGCCAGGACCGTTTTGGACGGTTAAGAAAAAAATATCTGCCCACGGTCAAACCAACAATGCATTTTACCGATTTTTCGGTAGATCTATCGATTCGTCAAGGAATCTACCGATACCATACAGATTTCTACTGAAAAGTAACAGTAAAAGTTGGGTGGTTAGTTTGGCGCTACTCTTCCCGCTCTTGCTTTAGCAATTTTGTCACTGATGTGTTGGGTGAATGTTAGTTTTTTGTCAATAGTAATACCTAAATATTTGATGCGGTTGGACCGTTGAGTTTGTTGGTCCATAAAATGATAAATATCATTACTTTTTTTTGCAATAATATTGTAACGGAAATGGCCTGGGGTACTCACGTTTGAAATGGAGGGCTCAAAATTCATGGTATTTCAGTAAATGGGAGCCCCATTTGCGCCCCATTTACTGTCAAATATGACACTGACAAGCGGGAAGTTTTGCAAGTAAAATAAAAGAGGTGGCAATCATATGGAGGTCCTTGTTACCGCGTTACGCAGGTAGCACTGCAACTGGCTGACCGGCGACTGACGGCACTAAAATTTCGAGTTTTCGGCCAAGAAGTTTTGAGCATGTGCGAAACGTGCAGGACATAGTGAAAATAAAATAAGGGTCGGTGAAATCAGTTCTGTCCTTTTTCAACTTGCAGAACAACGCGGCTGGATATTATACTTGAATTGCTAAGTTGACTTTGCTAAATGAAATTAACCTATGAGTTCAATTTAACCTTATTTTAACCACGTTTCCGATTGATCGGTCGAGTTAAAATAATTTCATATTTCTAATACCTGTACGGTATTAATACCTACAAATAACATTTGCTGTCGAGACGTAAGTATTGCATCGTAACATAGTAGTATTTTTTGTGAATATGTATTACCATTCTTTGTTTACTCTTTCTTGTTTGTTTGTATAATGACATTTGCATAAAGATGAGTCCTCCTGATGATCGTGTTCTTTTCGTATAAATGTATAATAAATAGCATCAAACTGCAAAATTTCTTCTGGTTTAAAATTCTCTATGGTTTAACCCATAGAGAAAGTAAAATAAGAGAGGTGGCGGTATGTTAAAACTTGGAACCGCGTTGCGCTACAACCGGCTGACCGTCAGTAACGGGAAGCTTTGACGGTAAAAACAGGTATCTAGATTATCGGCTAG